CGTATCTGTACATGGATGCTATGGACAGTAATAAATGGATGTGATTGTTACCTTATGTTCAAGTGGATAAATGCAAATTAGGATAATACAAGGACAACGTTAGCTAAAACGTGAGAGACAGTTTAAAAAAACTTATTTGTTTATTCATAAACAGGTAAATTCGAATATTTTAGTCCGTTTTTCCGGCTCCAACAATCATTTTTAGCCAATTTCGAAAAGGAGAAACGCTAATAGTATTGTGTGTTACGCTAATATCGTCGTAAAAAATGTGTCCTAATTTTTATTAATTTTTCCAAAAGGATTTACTACCTTACTACTTCCATACATTCAAGCTCCATTGTAGAGAGGATTTAAGTTAGTTTCTAACAACTTCATGGAAATTTTAATTTTCTGTATTTTTTTTCCGTTTACAATAGTTACACTAATTCTAATGCGCCAATACCGGACCGATTCTGATAATTATTTTTAAAATCAATATGGAACAAAATAAATTTGAATCTGTACAGATCTGTAATAATTTTATTAGCGAAAATAACCACATATTTTTTGTGTGCACAAATAAAATATCTGAATTGAGAACCTCCTCTTTTTGAAATCGGTTAAATGTGATGTTCAGGCTTGTTTTGAAATATATGTAGACAGTCTAAATGGCAATTATCTGTTGCGGTCGGTATTAGTGGTATTGTTGATGGGCAATAATCATAGGTTCGTAACTGGTGCCTGCCAGTTGTTGTCTATGGTAGGTATGTATAAGTACTTGCCTACCTACGAACCAAATGGTTGCTATAGTAAATTAATCTTAACCAGTTTCATTCTAACTAATATTTTAAACTAGCTTTTTGTCCGCTACTTCACACCTGTGGATTTCAGAAATAAAAAAAAAACAGATTCTAAATGGCTATAACACTAGCTTTTAAGTTACATCTTCAGGAATACAACTGTAAATATCAAATCCAATTTAGTGCAGTAGTTATTGCGTGATGTCGGAACAAACATACAGATAGACAGCCTGTTTGTTCCGGTATCGCGCGACTAAAATTTATAGTTTCAACTACGATTGCTCTTATTTAATCTCCCTCACATTATTTTTTCGTAAATCCGTGTACAGACATCGCTTAGTTACCATTTTATAATTATAAAATATATTTGTAAGATAGTAAGATTTGATAATTCAGATAATTGTTAGTCAATGGTAAACAGTCTACAGTCGGTTCATTCGAATATTTTTTAAAAATAGAATCGATTAATCTAATCGATACAGTACTTTTGTCTTCATTGAAATAGGTAGGTACCTACTTTTTGTGTCCAAATCAAAAATTTTTATTGTATAAAAAATCCCTTATTACATTTTTTCTTTTAATTTTTATATTTTTTATTTATTTATTTATACTTTATTGTACACACTAATAATACATTAAGAAATATGACAGTGGAAAACAAATGTACAAAGGCGAGCTTAACTCTACAAGAGTGCTCTCTTCCAGTAAAGTTTAAAATCTATTTATGTATATTATTGGTAATAATAAATATTATCTTTAGGTATATATAATAAAAACGAAACGAATCTGAAAATGTAATTCTTGGACATAATATCATCATCATCATCACATCAGCAGTTAACAGTCCACTGCTGAACATAGGCCTCCCCCATAAGGCTTGCCAAGCCTGACAACTATAGGCAAAACCCTCCTTATGAACATAATTGGTAAAGATATTTGTATGTTTGTTATTCAGTTGCGCTTAAACAGCTGAATGGATTTGAATGAAATTTGGTACATAGATAGGTTATAAACTTATATCTTAACAGGTTATTGATTCAAGCGAAACGTCTAGTTTAGTATTTGTTTAGTTAAATATTAACCGATGAAACTTATTTTCCAACTAAATGTACCAAGTGACATAGTAACAGAGATAAGGTACGACAACAAAATAAATGACTCGCTGTATCTAGTACATGATGAATTTAAAATTAGCATTTATATCAACCGCATAGGGTACATATGAAAAATCACCTTTCAGCGAAAACAACGCGATAAAATTAAAGGTGAACCGATTGTAGGGGGGCAATTACGTAAGTCGAAAATTTTCGCACTCGTTCAGTATGTTTAGGGTTCCTTACCTTTAAAGGAAAAAACGGAACCCTTATAGAATCACTTCGTTGTACGTCCGTCCGTCTGTTAAGACTTTTTCTTGGGAACGCGTGGAGGTATCAAGTTGAAATTAATATCATATACTCAGATCTGCAATCTCTTAAAGCAGCGAAAAAATCAAGTTCCTAAATCGACGCAATCAAAAGATACGGCCGTTTATGTTCCATTTATGTCACATATTTTGACATTTGCGAATGTGAGGGAATTAAAACCTATAGGGTACTTCCCGTTGACCTAGATTAATTAAATCTGGCAAGAAGCAACGTCATGTAGCACAAGTAAAAAAAAAATCCGTATACCGTAAATCTGTAGTTCACAAAAAATAAATTCAAACTTGATGATTTTGTACGGAACCCTGGTTGCGCGAGTCCGACTCACACTTGATCGGCTTATTTTATTCTTTAATTATGTACGAGAATCTAAAATACTATTAAAAATTAAAAAGATGATTAGAAACCTTAGTAATGTAGCGGTTTAGCTGACTCACATTCTGGTGGTAGCGTGTTCGATTTCCGCTCAATACAATTGATTGTATTAATAAATATACCCGGTTTGTATCAGTCTTAGTGTTTGACCAGAGAGAGACTTTGTACAAAAGTCGATTGCTTGGATACCTCTGTGCCATTCGTGTTTCAACCGTCAAGTTGTGTTTGCATGGCTGTGTTTCGGTTTGAAGAGTGGGATATGGCGTGAATTTACTGGGTACAGAGGAATAACACCTGAATCCTCAGGAATGGCAACGTATGGGGGGTATCATGGGCGAAACAGTATACTCTGTTATGTCCATGGTACTGCTCATGTCTATAGGCGACGGTTACCACTTTCGATCAGGTGGGCCGTCAACATGTTTGCCATTCTAAGTTGTATAAAAATTAAAAAAATAAAAATCTTAGTGTTTTCCATGTATGATATGTATGTATATCAAAAAAGTTGTCAGTTACCTATAGTACAATGTCTACTTAGTTTGGGTGCAATAGATGGCGCTGTGTAACATGTTCAATGATATTCATTTATACATATTTATTTGTTTGACATTTTAACATGAAACTCTACATTACAATTCTTACTAATATTGTAAATGTGAAAGTGAGTTTGTTTGTTACCTTATAGCGTCTGGACGGCTTAACCAATCACTATGAAATTTAGTATACATATATTTTATAAAATGGAGAAGGTTACTAGGATATAGGCTCCTTTTTATCCCTTATAATAAATATGTCACGGTCACGCGGACAAAGTCGTGAGTAAAAACTAGTCTATATTTATAAAACTGTTTATCCTGATTTACTATCAACGCATAGCCAAAACTACTAAGTCTAAAAAGCTAACATTTGGAACATAGGTTTATTTTATAAGGTAATCAAGAATCCGCTAAGAAAGGATTTTTAAAATTTTCAATTCAAAGGGGAAATACAAAACGCGCATGTAAAGCCGCAGATAGTAGCTAGTATAATATACAAATTGAAATCTAAACAATATCTTTGTAATTCTGAATATTTTCCCCAAAGAACCATAGTAGGCAAAACAAAAAAAAATTTAAGCCTCCAAAAAATATGTTATATCTCCCTGTAAAGAGATTAATGCTCTGCTCATTATGTAATATTCTTTCTCTATATTTCGGTTTTTGTTTCTATTAAAATAAAAGGTATAGGGAAATGTTTTATAGAAAAATTAGTTTCCACAAAACAAAAAAAAATACTAATCATTATAATATAAGGTAGGTACATAAATTAATTTTAATATTTTCTATTATCTATTAAATTCATTAAACGGATAGGTACATTTTGTAAATTTTATAAATTTGTGACTTAAAAAAATGTCGAAGATTTAATTGTTGAACCTAGAACCGAAACAAAAAAAAATGGTTTTTGTAGTTATTTGTACCCATTTTTTTTTTTATATTTGAAACTATTTTCTTTTAGTTTGTACTAGGTAGTATATACGACTAAATTGTTTACTAAAATGCAACTGAACCTAAAGTTAGTATCTACCTACGTATATATGTACTGTGGTGGTCACTTTTCAATAAAGATACAAGTCTTAAATTATTTATATATCATATTAAATAAATAAAAAAAAATGGTAGGTATAAAAAATATTTTTGTCTATGAATAGTGTGTTTGTGCCAGTTACTCGCCAATTTTGTATAAAAAAAAAAAAACTGTACAAACACATCATATTATAACCTCTATGCGCGACTTATATTTTTTCAGTATTTGTGCACGATAAGGGCTCAGTAATGTTAAACTGTAGCAACAAGATAAAATATGTGATACTTTTATCACATTTGCGCTGTTACTAAGCAAAATATTATACCTATCTTGTTATTTATAATGTACAGCAATTTCCATAATTTTTTTTTAATTATTCATAAGTTCCACTAAAGAGGTCTCGACTAAGATAAAAATATAAATAGGCATGCAATGCAAATATTCTAAAATCTTTCTTAAAAATTTTAAACATGGTTATATTTTGATGCCAAATTAATAATTCAATAAAATGTCATTTATATCTCTTAGCCTCTAACAGTTTAAGTATTTAATTATAAAAAGCAGTTCGATTAAAACCTTTTTGTAGGCTGGTTAAAAAACTTTATCCTTTTTTTGTTAACGCTGCAACAAAAAATAACCTGCGTGCGGCGACGATTAAAGAGATCTTTTTTTTACTATTATTTTATTTAGTGAAGTGACTTTTATTTGGCAGTTTTAATCTATTGTTATATTTTTAGGTAAAAAAAAAAGAGTATCGTACGTTTATAAGCAAAATATCTTTCCGACGGCATGTTACAATATTCGATTATGTGTTAACACGAAATTATTTACTGTGTTTATAAAAAATATTATCACTTACCTTTTTATGGATGCGATGACTTCACTGTAGAATTAGAATGCTTTGGAATAAATTTTTTTTTGTCTAATTTCAGTGATTTCCAGGGCACTTTATATTTGCGCCCTTTTCTTGCTCCATTTTTTCCTGTCACTATTAACACTTCTAGCCACTTATATTTTCAATATTCCATTTTCACAAGTCTTATTTTCTTTATTTATTATCGTTGTTATTTGAGTGAAATTATATTTATTTAAATTTGTTTTAATAAATTTATCAATATTATTTTTTATTTCTAATGACTCTGTAAATATGTAAGAACCTAGTTAGCATATGAAAATTTAGAGCATCTTTAAAATTATTTGTCACTTTCCAGATGCACCAATATCTATTTTTATTGTTTATGTTTTTTATTTTTGTACATATATACGATTACTCATATATCTATAGTATTAGCAGTTTATCTAGAAAGATTCTTATGAGAACTTCCGAAGTCTCTTTGATCGCGCAATTAAGTCGTATGAGTTTTGAGAAGTAAGAAAAAAAAACAATTGACGATACGTGTTTGCACGTCAATCGTCGTCACGAGAAGGACGCAACGCGACGCGAGCATCACCCGCGATCCGAACCAACGGATTGTGTAAACGCGCGCCACTCGCTCGGTTGGCGTCGGCGGGCGGGGGCGGAGGCGCGGGGGAGGGTCGCTGGTTCTCTCGCACGCACACATCAACCCCACCGTACACCAGCTCCCATCCATTACCAACGTTCCTATTTTGAATACGCGACACGGCAATCTAGCTTCTATGCACTAGGTATACGACCTCGACGGATGTGATGAGCGGACCGCGACCGACTGGCATCAGATCGTGCGTGTAGAGCGAGAGAATCGAATATGAACGTGCATTAGAAAGAGACGGGATATCATCGCTAGTTGAGCCGCGTAACGCATGTGTTTCCTCTGAAATACTCGTGCTCGCCGATGCAATGCAATAGTGCTGCAGTGTTAGACTTTGTAACTAAACGCAAGCCAAAAGTTGATTCTTAAATATGATCAAAAACATTCTGCTTTTTTCTATTTCGTGGTAAACATATAATCAAATAACAGCATCAGCTGTACAGTCGAGTGGTTGATGTCAATCGATCTTATTAATTAATAGGCACATATTTACGGATCATTGAATATTGTTGGGTTAATTTGACCGTCATTTTAGCTCATGTTTCTACCTGAGGAGTTAACGTTCTGTAAACGTGTAATTTACTTCTGACGAATTACATTATAGTAATTTCATGTTATAGTATTAAAAATTTAACAAACAAAGACTGTTTTATGCATTTTTTAAACTTATATTCTTTAATTCTTTGCAATGTATCCGGAATCAACACTAAAATACGTACCCTGATTATTATAACAAGATATATCGTATGGCGAATATTTAAACAAAGTTGAACAAACCGTAACATATATTACAGAGTTAGAAACAATATTAAATGTACCTCCTTGTAAAAACGAAGATAATATGTTGCGCGCATAAATATGCTAAAATATACAATGACTCAACGTCAAATAAATTTTACGAAAACATCTTACCTAGCGATTATTAGCGAAGGTATTGAATTAACGACGTAACTCATTGAGAAACGTGGTAACTAATGAATTTGGAACACGCAAATGTAGTCTTAGACGTCTTTGGAATGATTTTCAAGCTAGTTTCTAAATAGTAGTGTTTAAATACCTTTTTCGTATAAACTCTGTGAATATTACGACGATCACATAATGGGCGATTCGAGAGAAAACCGTTTACACAGATGGTAATGGACGTATCCACACCCACTTGGTGGCCCGCGTATCGCCATTCGAAATTCGAAATTCGAGAAAATTTATTAGACATTGAGTATTTTACCACCCGACACCAAACAGCGATAAGTTTACATGACAGGTTTTTATTTTTTAGGTTTCTTAAATGTCACATTTCGTGTAATTATGTTCAAAATCCGGAATAAATTTAAATTGCTGCATTACGTTATTATGTAGCCACACAGGTGTTGGCATCAACTAATTTGTTGACCAGTTGGTCATTGATTTATTCGATGAGGTCAAGCCCCTTGAGTTTCTTGTCATAAACTTAATTAATAGTGAATGTATTGGAATTTTTTGAAAGTTGACCGACCATGTTCATCAAAATATTTGGTTTGGTATGAATAACCAAACTGAATTTTAATGGTTTGATTCGTACTTATGTTCATTAATTTAATTTTACTCGAAGGCAATGATCACTTTATTTCAGCGGATTTCTAAAGTAATTTGAAAGACATAGTATTTTGTTTTTATGTTTTTTTATTACTTTATTGTTTATATTTATAATTAATAATAAATAACATATATGATAGATCTCAACCTCACCTCAATTACATCCACACTCCTCACAAAGCGAATCTCAAAAATAACCTGAAATCAATATGCAACGTTTCGCAATAAAAAATTACTATTAATTAAAGAATAATAGTTGAATTAAGCTAATCTTTGCACTCTAAATTTAAATTAGAAAGAATATATCGTATAGATAAAGAATAATAAAATTGTAACTTAAACGTAATGGAACAAAATGTAATTAAATGCGTTTTCAACGCTTTACTTCAAAAATTTACATAAGCTCAATTTGAATCTTTAAAATACGACAGATTTTAATATTTTATACTTTTAAAGTAGGTACGTATTTAGTGCCTATTATCAATTAAATTTGTTTAAAGCTGATGCTTGTAGACAGTTAATACTTTATTAATGGAAATTATATACTTTTGCTAACTTAGGTATATGATTGAGATTATACAAAAAGTCGCCATAAATGAGTATTTTTCACCAAGCAAGTTTCTATGACTATAGTCTGATTAGAGAAATGAGATATGGCTTAAAATTGCTGTATATTTTGAGATGCAATTTTTATGTACCAAGGGTCAATACCTTTTAACTGATGCAATTGACAGCTTTGCTGTTGCATGGATCGTAGGCTACGTTAACTGTTAATCAGGAAACAGGCGGTAAAGTTATTTGTCTTCATCTTCCTTGTAAAAAAATATAGCCTGTCTTGTATTGGTGGTACTATTATTATTATTGTGTATCTAAACAAACCGAAAAATGTTGGTGTATCTAGAAAGTATTATAGGGTATATAAAAAACCTGATATTTATCATTTACGATGTCTTACTTCAGTGGAACGAATCATTGTAAACGTTTTTACTGGAATACTTATTGTTTAGTATATTAAAAAAAAAAAAGAAACTGAAGTCTATATTTTCCCTAGATAATAGAATATTAATTTTTTCGGCAATTATTTTTAATATTACAACAAATATTTGAAATTTCCATTGAAAAGTAGCTGTAATCTTTAGCTACGATTTTAAGGCGATAAAAATATATAAGTATTTATCACCTGACATCTATCAGCTTTTCGTTATCAATATGCCACAACACTGGAAATTATATATACACTGTCGATAAAAATATCTTCTAAAATGACAATTTGACAGAAATAAAAATTGTTTTTAGATTTCCATATGTTATTATGTAAAACGTATCATATATCATGCTCACAGGTAAGTTCGTCTACATGATCAAAGTATGGAGAAACAGATAAATTCTGAGGTGATATTGCCTAAATCTACCTCTAAAATAAAAATCTTAAATTAATTCTAGTTTAGTGAAATTATTATGCTGTGGTCCAACAAGAAATCGCTTCGCCTATTAGAATAATATAGTAATAGGTATCTACGCCAATTACTTACAAATTCTCTTTACATTAAATCACTACTTATCTATGTGAACATTATGTATATTAATTACACTAATAAATAAAATTGGCACACATGGTTGTCTGGTCAAAATAAGGAAAAATTTCAACCGTCCTCAATGCTTCTCTTTTTATAATCCATGTAGGTAGCTTTGATTATTTAAAACGAAAGTTTAAGAATTATATTTTATATTATGGGGTAAGTATTATCTAGTAAAAAAAAAAAGGAATAGATATAAAGTATAACTAGTAAAAAGAGTTGAACTGTTGGTTAACTGGGATTAAGTGATTAATAATAATAGAATTATTGATGAGGTCTTCCTAAAACGTAGGTACCTACATAATTCCTTGACTCTTGATTTTATATTTTTTATGTATTAGTATTGCTTATGATTTTCACGATTATTTTTATTATGTACACAAAGTAGTTTTTTAAATTCATTAGATAGTTCACTTATTTTAAATCGCGCACACAAGAAACTTGTAGGGCTACATTGTTTGGATAATTTTAGCGGGAAAATAGCACAATCATCATAGGCAACAGCCGATATCGAACAAACACACGTCACATTAATATCCAAATGTATCTAAATCAAAATTGACAATTTGGTGCAGAATGACCTATAGTTACCTTTTCTTTTACACGCTTTTTTTTAACAATTTTATTAAATCAGACACACTGTGACATAATACTATAGATTATACATTATAGACAAGAGATTCTCTACACGAATTTGACAAGTTCGAAATTTGAATTTTTGAACCCGCCATCACCACCCTTAATCATTTCGCGTTGCGAGTACACGAACCGTATTGTTTAATAATCGCAATAATTAGTGGTTATTGTTTTTGTTGGTCGCGCAAGTGGCGGCCGCTCGCGGCGCACCGTGGCACTGCAGCTCGTCACATAATGCCCACTCACTACCTCTCTTTCCCCCTTTACTTCCGCACCGGCTTTTTGCCGAGGGCGCAGGCGTCCCGTCATTTTTTAAACCGCGCCCATGTTTCTGTAATTTCCAGCACGTCGCGCACCTTTAGTGAAAAACAGCTTTTTTCTAGCGCATTTTTTTTTTCGTCGTGTCCCTCTCTAACATCTGCGCTTGCTAATTCACTGTCACCCTCCATCTAACGGTTGCTAGTAAGCGCCGTTCTAACATAGTGTTAAAGGAATATTGCCCTCTCTCTCTAGAGACGCCGCGACGCCGGTGACGCCAATTATTGTATTGCGCTTCATCGCTGAAACGCAATTTAAATAAAATTTAATTTCATTTTCGACCTTAATACCATGGAATAAAATTCAAAGCGTGACGGGTCTAATGTAGTTGTGACATTACGGTCTAATGGCGCAGTGTGTATAGTTCCGGCCATTTTTGCGATAAAAAAATCGCTTGCATGCACGTAACCACGCCTCGGTTTACACACATTTGCTGTCTATTTTACTCCTTTTTTATTTTTCATTTACGGTCTCACTCTTTCACACACACACACGTACACAATTCTATGATAAAGGCTTCGGGATTTGCAAAAGTATTGCCACCTAGCGGGCAATAGCGGAACTTTTGAGTGGAGTGAAAGAATCGGCACTTTCCTCTAAGGGTGGCAGCACTGAGTAGAAGTGAAAGGGGTGTTTTCAGGACGTATTAGTTCTTAGTTTTGCCGCTACACAGTGGCGCCACGTTCGAAAGCAAAGTTAAAATATATAAAATTTGGTACCAGTTTTTTTTTTAACTGACAAAATCATTTACGACTATCTCCCAGACTCAATTATAAAGACCAGCTAAGGCGATCACGGAATACTGTTTAACATTTATTTACAATTTAATCAAAACAGATTTAGCAGTGTATTAGCATTTTATTTGGAGGTTTTATCGCATTTGCCAGCAGGAGGCATGGTAGAGACATGTCGGATTAATGGTTCAAGGAGAATAAAGCAACAAATTTAATTTTGTGACTGACAATAGTGTAGTAATATATTAGAAACCATTATTTGATATTTAAAATTGATTACAAAATTTTATTTACGAAATTTAGAATGGCAAACATACTGACGGCCTGCCATATGGAAAGTGATAAGCGACAAAAATGTTGATCCCACCTTACCAATTTGAGAAGAATTTTGTTTTTTTTCCCTCTAATTATATAGTTATAACCATTTTTTTTTAATAAAATACTCACAATTTATACTAAATATATCGGTTCTTAGTAGTTTGCTGAGAGATTAGTCGATTTAATAACTCTAAATTCCTTTAAAAATGTAAGTTTCCGGTTCCTTATAAAAATAATTTCTCTCTAGGGTCACTCATGCTCCTCGACCATGTCGTATAGGTTTTCATTTGTTTTAATTTCAATAGCTTAATTATTAAAAATATTTTTTTTTATACAACTTAGAATGGCAAACAAGCTGACGGCTCACCTGATGGAAAGTTGTAACCGTCGCCTATAGACATGAGCAGTACCATGGACATAACAGAGTATACTGTTTTGCCTATGATACCCTCCATGCGTTGCTATTCCTGAGGACTCAGATGTTATTCCTCTGTACCCTGTAAATTCACGCCATATCTCACCCTTCAAACCGAAACACAGCCATGCAAACACAACTGCTTCACGGTAGAAACACGAATGGGACAGAGGTACCCAAGCAATCGACTTTTGAACAAAGTCTCCCTTCTTCTTCTTCTGATATCTAAATTTTTAATCTCTCCAACCTGACTTTTCGATTGTCTTTTTATTTCTCCCGATACGTAATCCCGCAATCGACTTTTTATTACAAAAACATTCGCTTGTATTCGCCATGTGTCATAGCTGTTACAGTTTAACGTTTCTATAATATTTGTCATGACTTACTTTTTATTTCCAGTAATTCGTTACTTTTGTTGTTTCTCAGAAATCCGGTAATTTATATTCTGGGCCCATAACCCTTTATATATAAAGTTTACGCTAAATATTGGAGGGAAATGAATAATAGGAATCGAGTGATGTTTTTAGTAGCAAGACAATTTTATTAAGATGTTAATTCAATATCAAATAAAAACAGGTATAATAAAAAAAAAAAAAAAACTATCAACGAAGAAATATTTACAACATAGCAGTAATCCATAAAGCCACATATATAAAAATTCCATGTCATGTTGTTCGTTCATGCTAATCTCTGAAATCGCTCTACTGATTTTAATGACATTTTGAAAATGTGTAATGTATATTCCAATTTGAGATATAGGATAACATAACTACCATCTTTTTTCTTTTCCTTTCCACCCAAAGTCTTGAAGTTGTCTTGAAGAGATTGCTTTAGCGATAAGACCATCTTTTGTACTTCATAAGTGTAATGTATATTTATCTTTATATTGGTCTTTAAGTAGTGCAATAAAGTGTAAATAAATAAATAGTTTTATTCCGATAAGAAAAAAGCGGGTCAAGTGCGAGTCGGATTCGCGCAACGTCGGTTCCGTACAAAATTGTCAAGTTCAATTTTTTTGTGAAATCATTACAAATTTACGGTTTTCGGATTTTTTCCTTTATTTTTCGTACATGACATTGCTTCTTGACAAATTTCATGATTTTAGGTCAAAGGAAAGTACCCTATAAGGTTTTGATTTACTTTGCGAATATCAAAATTTGCGATATAAATGGACATGAACGGCCGTATTTTTTGATTGCGTCGATTTAGAAACTTGTTTCTTTTAACTGCTTTAAGAGATTACAGACCTGAGTAGATGATATCAATTTCAACTTGATACCTCCGCGCGTTCCTAAGAAAAAGGGTCTTGACAGACGGATGGACGAACGGACGGACAACGAAGTAATTGTGGAAGGGTTCCGTTTTTTCTTTTAGAGGTACGGAACCCTAAAAACGGACTTGGTAGAAGCTAAAATATTTTTTTTATAAATTAACAAAATAGTCGCAACTACCGTTCGACGTTGCAATTGTTAGAGTAAAAGATTGATATCTTGTGTAAGGGCGGGCACACACGAGCCGCATTCCTGCGCGCGAGTCATCATAACTCAATTGGGCGAGCTGGGATCTTGATTGCGTTGGCCTTGGAGGCGGTACTGTTAGCAATATTGTTTGAATAATATTGAAATATTGCCGTACCGTGTGGTCCCAGCATAGTATGGGCTACTTCTTCCTTTCCCGTGGGTGTCGTAAGTGACTAAGGCAACTTAACGGTCAAGGGATGGGCAGTGGCGTCCCTCTTAAAACATTATGATGGCATAACTGCAGTTGTCAACTTGCCTGGCAAGCGTGGATATATTGTGTGTGGATGTTTTGTCTTATTTTAAAGTTGATTTTATTTAATTCCGCTACTATTAGTATGCGTGTTTTTTTTTATACAACTTAGAATGACAAACAAGCTGACGGCCCACCTGATGGAAAGTGGTAACCGTCGCCTATAGACATGAGCAGTACCATGGACATAACTGAGTATACTGTTTCGCCCATGATATCCCCCATGCGTTGCCATTCCTGAGGACTCAGGTGTTATTCCTCTGTACCCAGTAAATTCACGCCATATCGTATTCCACCCTTCAAACCGAAACACAGCCATGCAAACACAACTGCTTCACGGTTGAAACACGAATGGGACAGAGGTACCCAAGCAATCGACTTTTGTACAAAGTCTCCCTCTGGTGTTAGCATCTTTACATTTAGTATACCAATATTTTATTATATTTGTATCATAATATAGCTGTTGTCAAGTGTCACCGTTGCTGATTTGATTTAACTTCAAAATGGTGATTTGTCATTTCCAGAATAATTATTTACCCGCCAAAAATAGTCGACATAAAAACTAGAAGTAACGACCAACAGTTGACAGTTGTTGATTGAGCGTTAACCAGTAAAGACGTATAATTTGGTAAGCCGCTTTAATACAAATGTATTTTAATTACAAAGTTGTGGAACTGTTAATACATGAGTTGGATTCCCCTATAATGACACGAGTTTTATTTCATAACCACCGATCTCTTAAATGTGTGACTACCGACATTTGATACTGGGTATTGACTATCAGAGACTATGATCTTTCCTATTTATTACCAATTTTATACCGTTAATCATTCTACACTCTTGTTGCGACACGTCTTTCAAGCCTAAACGAGGCACCGTTAATCGTTCTACACTCTTGTTGCGACACGTGTTTCACGTCTAAACGAGGCATCATCAGGCAATTAATACATCGTTTCTGGTAGCCTAGTGTTGACCATTCGGCTATCAGACCGCGGCTCTCATTTGTCTGTCGACCGTACATTCTGCAGTTAGTAACAAACGGGTCGCGTGCCTTTCCGGATTCTATCGCAAATCTCGGAAACATTGTTACGGGACAAATTCAACTGATATAACTCGAACGGTCAGCTTGGTTTTAGGGTTGCCCTATGTTTTATCATGTGAAAAAGTGATAAATTATTAATATTTTTATTTTTCTTAGACAGTAAAACACGTAACAGGCGAGCATGTATGAATAGATTGATGAATGTGAAGGAAGCGAAAGAGGTCTGTTTGAATCAGAGCATTTGGCATTCCATTGTTTCTGCCTATCCTAATAGGAAACAGGCGTGACAGATATGTATATATGTATACTAATAAATAAATTAATTAATTTAATTTATTTAAAAAAAAATTGCCGTGTGATTCTGGCATTCCTTTGCCGTGGGTGTCGTAAGAAGCGACTAAAGGATTAATGATTGAGGGATCGGTAGCAGTGTCCTTTTTAAAATACCACCAAAGCCTAACTGCGGTTGCCAACTCGCTTGTCAAGCGTGGCAACGGCTTTGGTGGTATTTTAAAAAGGACACTGCTACCGATCCCTCAATCATTAATCCTTTAGTCACCTCTTACGACACCCAAGGGGAAAGGAAAGAGAGTTCTTTTCTAAGCTGGGACCAAATGGTGACTACAACGATTGT